GTACGTTAGTTTAACGACCTCACCAAGCTGCGAAAGAACGATCAATGAGCGATTCGCAGGGTCAAACGAATCATGGCCGCATACACTGACGACAGGCCATTCTCCGTGGAGCTCGTCGGCGCTGTGAGTGTGTCTCCCAACACAGATGCCTTTCAACCTGACTGTTTTTTTGAGGTTATCCGACAATGTTCGTTCATAGACAAGATGCACAACTTCGGCTGGACGGCTCCTAGCTTCCTTAACAATCAACAGGATGAGGTTGTCTTGGTTAATGCTGTCGCTAGATACCATGCGTAAGGTCCTTCCCATACCGTCGCATGACACGTTAATGGATTCTCGCGTAGTTTCCTAGATCTAATGGCAATATCTCCGGCCCTCCTCCTCGTCCCCACACTCGACATTGATTTGGCATGGCACTCCCATCAGCTTACAGCGAGTAAATATGCGCAAGACTGTCGCGACACAGTGGGTCGATACGTTAACCAGTGAGCTGTCTTCTATAGTGTTGCAGAGAACAGCGGCTCTGACTGATTCGATGTGTTAGTGACGACAAGGTCGAAGAGAACTATCTAGTTATATCCCTGGACATTACTCGCCATGCCTGGCAGGTAGGCTTACAGCTATGTACACGCAACATGGTTTTTCTCATGTCTGGCGAATACAGGAGCGTTTCGGTGTGCCATACATGCTCTGCGGATGCCCACTCCCTGGCGAAGCAGCCGGCCAGAGTTTAGGTCACCTCGTCAAGCTGCAAGAGGAGGGAGGCGACACTCAGCGAGACATCGATGTGACTCATCCGCGCGGGCGCAATCTACAGGAGGCGAATATGCAGGAGCGACGCTTCCCGTTCCTCGTACCTGCCCCCTTCGTCGCACCTACCTCTACGTGTGACTCTGTCGATACGCAAGTCATTGGTGGTGCTGGATCCCACGCAGCGGTCAGTCGGGACTCTTCTAGTGGAAAAGGCTCTGTGCTCACTCATGACATTTACGTCGCAGGCCTGCGGTGCTTGTGGAGGTTGCGAGGGCGGCTCTTATGAAGTCACTGTCAGGGGCTAGGACTTCGGCGGCTGATGATACGCCGTAGCTGGTTGTGGGTGAGGACCCACCAATAGGAGTGTCGTGCGTATTGACCTAGTGCAGCCTATACAGACGGCGATTGATATGTACGATGTAGTGAGTGATTCTGTGCAAAGTGTCTGAAGCAAGTGGACCGGTACTGACTCGACTCGGATACGCCAGGATATGTATACGTTTCGAAATCTGTGATGAGTGTCGGTACGTGCGATCGCGCAGTATATTTGGGTAATGCCAAATGTGTTGCACATGATGCTTCATGTTCTTGGAAATATTCGCTTGTGATTGTGAGTGACAGACGAGAAAAGAAGAGACATGATAAGGATCCTTTACCGATATCGAGAATGTGATCCTCTGGTAGATGGGCATGCCAATTACTCAATGGCCACACGATTTAGTCGGGCTGCTGCTGTGATATACAGCGCATTTCAATCCGTCATCGCGTTATCCAACACTACGCGATGAATCGATGACGGTCAATCATCAAAGACGTTCACATACGCAGTGGTGCGTATAGTCACATCTCATACTGCATGTGGCTCGGACGGTGCATCATGAGTATGCAACAGTCCTGCAGCTGAGACATGTCTCGGTGGGATTGCAGGCGATGGCTATCTGAATGCTTCATGCCAGGGCCTGCTGTGGTGGTCTCAGTCAACGATCGTACAGGGTCATCACTCGCATAGTAAAGCTTGCGGTGGCATGTCAGGCAAGCATTCACAGGCACCTTCGTCAAATGATGCACACGACGTGCCGACGATCATTGATCTTCCCGGTCGGTATTGGACGCAATTATACAACTGGTCTATACTACATGGACGTCGAGATTGACGATAAGCATGAGCGCAGATAATGAGAACTCCCGTCTCGACTGGACAGCACTCGGCGCGTGTAGCGGCAGGACACAAGCCTGTTGGTAGGAAGCACTTCTTGATCTGACATACGATTATTCGCCTCGGTGTCACTGTCCTATAAGGGGCAACCCCACCGCCCCCTTGACACAAGGATAAGGTTTGGGCATCTTACGTTCGCTTCACACAGACGCTGGAGTATAAGTACTCACCTTCGTTCTAGAAAGGGTAGTCTCCTTTTCACTCCGTTCAACGATGAGACGTGCCCTCGCCTGCTTGTGGCCCGTGCTCATCGCCATCGGCACCTTCATGACTTTCCTCACGCCTCCCCGAGTCATTGCGATGCCATCTGACGCTGTTGCAAGGTACGTGCGCAGAATTCGAGCAATCGGGTTCCTCCGGTCTGACGATGTATTGTCATACAGAAGCCTCTCCCGTAGCATGACATGTGAGACATTCTTGCATGACGTTGTCCCATGAACACATTACAATGGCGTCTCGCAGCACGACTTATTCAAACGCCTATTCTTGTGGATGAAGCCCTCCACACCGACTTCTGGGAACGCGCAGCACAACTCGGTGCTTTTGCGCGGAAATATGCTGAATCTCGCATAGACGAAGTTCAAACTACGTATCCACAATACATCAAAGAGGTGGGGACCATCAAGGACGCCATCCCACACATTGTCTTTGTTGCAGCGGGTTTCAGAGCCCGCATAAAGCAAGCGAATCTACTCATGACGAGAGACGCCAGCAACAGCGGGACAGCGTCTGACGATGTCTCTAGTGAAAGCGTCATGGATGACATCGCTGACAAAGTAGACAAGAACCTTGCCGAGCTTCTCGAGGAGCTTTCAGCGGCGTTCCCGCCCCCAGACCATGCGCTACATCATGTTGCAAGAAAGGACCTAGTCAACCAGATACTATCTCGCGCAGAAGACATCATTACACGTATCTGTGTCGAAGCAGGCTTGCCGGAAGAAGAGGTGAGAGCGCAATTGCGGTTGCTGCATCCGTATATTGTCACAGCCGTGGTCACGATCGGTTCGTCTTTATATTACAACGCATGAAGCCAGCTGATCCTAATTCATTCCGATTGCACTTTACATAGGGGATATTGCTGAGCAGCATCCAGACGTGGTGGAGATCCTCCTGATCACTGCGGCATTTATGATCATCCCAGAGGGATGGATTCTGCGCCCTGTTGCTCGGCTGTTCGGTATTGGCCCTTACGGGCCGGTGAAAGGTGCGTTTGTTTCTCAGATTGGGGTAAAAAGTGATGCTTAGTCCTTTGTAGGCTCGACCGCTGCATGGGCCCAGCGAACGTTTTACGGAGGGGAAGTGAAGGCCGGGAGCTGGTTCTCGCACCTTCAGCGAGCGGGAATGAAGCCCATCATTCAGCCTGTCAAGAAGGGTATTGTAGGCCCAGTTGTGGGTGTAATTGGTGTAGTGGGATCTGTTTTCGCGTGTGGGTAAAGGGTCGGGCTATACCATTTCTCGGATGCAACAACACAAAAGGCTTGAAGCAGTACCACCCCTGATGATTTCCAGACATCAACGTCTATGCAACATACGCGTTACGCGACGCGCAATGCGAGTCCGTGGCCGTGAACGCAAGGGGGGCGTCTGACAACTGTGAATGCTGCAAGCTAATCGCCCCGCGACCCGAGCTTCGAGGTCGAGTCCTCTGTTCTCGCTGGTCAATATATAGGCTCGCAACCTGAGCTTCCCCGTACAGAATACCGCGTGGACACCTGGATGAGTTCGTACCAAGGACATCGGGTTCAGCCCGATAAGCTCACAGTATGAATCCTGCTTGAACTGTAAACTTGCACATATAATGCGTCATTGATTCAGTTTGTGACAGGAACAATGCTTATACCTTGGTAATGCGTCGATTGGGCCAGAGGGGGGAACCTTTGGAGAACCTTTTGGGCTCTGTTCGCCGCTCCGCTCAAGTCGAGCCTTCATATGAATTGCCCTACCTGGACGGCCCGCAGTTTGACTACATAATGCACTTGTGATTGTGGCCTTGCATCTACCAAGTCCAACCTTTCCGTGATCTCCATCATTAACCAGTGTTATCTTCAGCTCCAGAGTAAATGTGACAAAGTGCCACACAACGCATCAGGCGCCGACCACTCCTGCAAGTCGGAACACGAGGCGGCTGGACTACGACAATGATAAGAGACGCCTTGGTCACCGGTGTGCACAGTTGCCTTACATGGTATGTTTTCAGACTCCGCACTCTTCACCGTTCTTATAATGAGATGTTCCCATCCCAGGGTCTCGGCTAGGCCGTCGTCCGCTGCTATGAGCATGCTCGTACGCCGGACAATGCCTGAGCGGTGGGGTCGTATAAAGGTGTGCGAGGACGAGCGAAATATGCCCCCCAGCATTGCTCTGTTGCGTCGCCCGAGCCACTCACGCACTGTCCCGCGCACCCGCCATGCTCTTCACGCAGTCCGACATCAGTATTACCTCGTCTCAAGATGATGCGGTCCTAGACGCTTCTTTCTCTTTAGATCCTATCGACTTTCTTGGAGTCCCGCGGAACTATGATTACTTCGACATCCCGGACCTCTTCCTCTTTGAGGATCTTTGTCCCGAGTCCACCTCCGAGGTCATTGTCTCCGGGACATCACCTACGCATATGGGAGCCTTAGAAGCGACAGCAGCTCCGCCGGAAACAGACACCATGGATTCACCTCAATACATTCCTGAGGTCGACACGCAGTATGTGCACTTCCGACCGGATGACTTACATCAGTATCTGACATGTCTCCAGCTATTCTGAGCCCTATTTTCCCCTGCCGTCTCCTGGTCTCCCCGATGCAGTATCCGTCCCCGCATACTATCCACAGGATGTGCACTACGCTTATGATCCTGTTCCTTCTGCCTCGCCGACGGTATACGGCATTACCAGGTCCTTGGCCGAGCTCTCTCTGCTCGACTCGGGAAACACTACGCCGTACACTCCACAGCTCGCCGTTTCTATCACATCACCGCCGACTCCCTTCTCTTCCGACTCGGAGGCTCTTACAGACAGCAGCAGCGGCGAGAGCTCCAGCGACGATGAATCTAGTCCGTCGAGCTCACCTAGCGTCTACACGACGTCAATATCCCGTTCTGCATCGACCGCACCTTTGCCCTCGTCTTCTTCTCGCTCGCCTCCGCGCGCGCACACGCGGCGGAAGTCCCCCTACACGCGCGACCATCCCCAAAGGCCATCGAAGAAAGCGAGATCTGACTCGTCTTCTACGCCTGCAAACATTCCCAGACGTACGAAGCCGAGGAATATACAGACCAGCTATTCCTTCCACGAACTCGAGGCGATGATCGCAAAGGGCTCGCGCCGGTGTCCGGTCGATGAGTGTTCATTCACGCCGGCGAGTGGGAAGCGAGACGATCTGGTGCGCCACATCAAGACGCACTGCGAGGACAAGGGCGAAGAGTGGGTGTGTTGCGGTGTGCCCTTGTCTTCGGCGCGGTCGCGTCGCGTCGCTGGCACGTGCAAGCCGTTCGAGTACGGGGGCCAGATGAGAGTGGGTGGGTGTCTGCTGTCGTTCAGTCGGAAAGATGCTCTGGGGCGCCATGTGAGGGACAGCAAGAATTGCGTGTGGGGTTCTGGCTAGGAGTTGGCCTCGTTTCTCTCTATTCTTTCTGACTCGTTTTTATATGACATGACACGGGCTGGCCATGATTAGGATGCAAAGGGCGTCATCTGAGACGCCTTAATTATTTGGTTATATATTAGTGTATATTATAGATGTATTCTCCATTGTACATCTGTCAATGTGTCTGTAAATTCTTCTCTTGTCGGATTTTGCTCTCTGGCCGCAGCATGCTTCCCTCGTAACCCGTTGCGCTTTTTGTGCTCTACGCTTGAACAATCCCGACTTGAGCAGTCAATATCACAATTGCACTTTCGTTCACGTTGACAAGAGCGTCGCGTCTTTTCTGTTTGTAGTAACAAGTGCGATGCGACACCACCAAACTTGAGATCGTGTAGACGGGAAACGCGATCCCGTGACCGCGTGCTCAGGGTGCCTCATCAAGTGAAGCCTGTCCTAGTAGCAATCGTAGGAGAAGTAACAAGGCAAATATCCAGGATTTACTCTGAGTATACAGCGAACCAGGGCTATAAAGATATCCCCCATCCGTCGGTGGTAATGTTGCCAGTGGCTGAGGGACAAGCCCCGGCCCCGCATCCGGGCATGACGCAGCGCTCAGGCGCCTGCTTCAAACTCCGAACGTGAAGAGGTTCTTATACCGAAACGTTCCCATCCCAGGCTCACTCTTAAGGTAAACACCAACAGCGGCGACCATGCTGGCCATCCACACAATGGCTGGGCACTCTGGAGATATAAAGGTAGGTCGGGGCATGCGCGATGATGCCCCCAGTGCTCCGCTACTGCACAACAAACATCCCTTCGACTGCCCGCCGTGCCACTACGATGTCTTCAGGGTCTCGCGGACAGTCTACTACACTCCTCGTCTCTGCTCAGGGCGGTCACTCTGCACGGAACGCACCATACACAGGCCGTCAATACTTGCTACCCTCCGATCTCGAGTCGTGTGCCTGGTCGTCTGATGACTGGTTCGTGGAGAACTTTGCCAGAACAACAGAGGAGCCTACGTTAGCAGATGCTCCTGCTCCTGCTCATCTGAGTACGAATCGGTTGTACAGGACGCACGCTGAGTCTGTCCATGTTGTTGTTCCGGACATACACTCGCGTTTCGCGGGACATCCGTACGTTCACCTGCCACTGGTCTAAGCATGCGATCTGACGGGTTTATTCCAACTCTAGTGCAAGTCCGCAGTCCGTGTCGTCTGTACATTGCTCACGGGCCGACTCGACTCAAATCTACTCCCTGTCTTCAACACAATCACTCCCTCGTCAGAATGTATCGGCTTCGAGCCCATACGAGATCTCTCGGAGCGCGGGTCCTTCTGTCCCAGCATACTTTGGCTCCCTGGAATATGTCATGTACCCCGAAGCAATGTCGAACTTATCCTTGCAGGCCATCACGCCAGCTGCCGGTACATATCACCATCCTGTCTTCGCTGTGCCCGCAGTGGTCTCCGAACCAACCACAGACGTTTTCTACTCCAGTTCACCGGTGCACCCGCCGCCTTCTGTATACACGAATTCCCCGGACAGCTCCTCGTCCTGCTCTCCTTCGTCATCATCGCCCACGTCGCCCTTCACTTCCAGCGATTCAGACCGGGTCCGCACATCGTCCGCACAGCGCTCGCCAGCGCCGAAGAAGACACGCCGTCGCGCCCCCTACTCGAGCGAATCTGCAAAGTCTCGACGGAGAACGTCTCGCTCGTCGTCTTCCTCCTCGAGCGTCAGCACGCCTTCGGCCACAGGCAAGCGGCGTCTTGCACCACCCCGCAATATCCAGGCTCCCATTGACGTCGCTGCGTTCGTCCGTGCTGACTCCCTGCAATGCCCAGTGTGCCTGCATGTGCCTGCAGAGAGAAGCTCTGCTGCGCTACGGCGTCACCTGGAAACCCATGATCGCAGCCTCGCCAACAATGTCTGGGTGTGCTGCGGCGTGCCGGAGGAGATAGCAGGCATGTATGAGATCAGGGATGGTTCGAAGCGACTGGAGCACAAGGGTCAGTGGATGGTGGGAGGATGTGGAATCGATTTCAGCCGGAAGGACTCTTTGATTCGGCACCTCAAGGACAGTAAGGAGCCGTGTACTGCCGATCTCGCTTTGGGTGAGGCACTGGGTTGGTTTGACAAATGATTGAACGTTCCGGGTCGGTCTAAGTGTGAGAGACGGCTTATTTAGTTCTGCATGTATTATATTGTATGACCACCTGGATACAACATTCAGATCCTTTCTGGATGAAATGAAGTATGATTCCCGAAAATGACTGTCATGGAAGCTCGGTTTGACGGGGCGTTGAAGAAGGCCAGGCAGGGATTGTATCCGGGGCTGGCGGCCTCATAGCGGAAGTATTTGACCCCCGCAAGATGATTGGGCTGTGAGAGTGTTAAGTTATGACGGAGGTATGGTTGGTTTGATAAAGGAGAAGCTCATCAGTGGAATAAGTATGTCAGTGGCTGTACTTGTGTCCAGTTTGTGTGGAAGGCATCATGAGGTCGGTGTGTGACGTCATTAAAACGCACTATGATAGATGTCGATGTTCTGTATTATCAAAATGTACGCCTTTCGAGCACTTGGTCGTGTTCGTCTAACATCAACTTGTACTATCATATGCGATGTGAACGTAACCTCGTTACTTTGGCGCAGACGATATTACGCGGAGCAGTGATCAAGGAGGGTAAATGCTAATACTATGACCGCGTCGTGACCCACCGGTGCAAACAAGTGCTCATGTTAGTTGACGAACCAATCGGCCCAGAAGACGCGTCTGCCGCAATCTCGATCTAAATGAGACGCGTTGCCACAGGCGCGGTGACGCGACGGTGATCCGCTTCTCCCGTTCATTGCACCCCTCGAGGATATTTGAATATAAGGATCCGCGTTCTCGTCGATTGACTTAATCCACTTGATTTTGCTCAGGACATTGAGAACGTACCCTCATGAACCCACTTCGCAGCAAGATGAGCACGAAATGTGGCCTAGGACAAAGTTGACTGTGCTGACAACTTGCTCACAGTTCTCAACGAAAATGGCATTGATATTCAGATCAGAGTCAATTGGTTGAAGTGACAGGCCACTGAGACAACAACTTTGCCTCCGACCATGATTGCCTCCGACCATGAATTTCATGCACCTAAGCTCACAATAACCATACTACATCCCTCAAACAGACATGTTGAAACGAACAAATACCTGAGACAGACAGTGAGCTTGCACCTTCGACGGGGGGGCTTAATGCATGGGACTCACAAAGCTACAGAGAACCCGTGTTACTCAATGTCTTCGCTTACTTTGAGGCGTTGCTCGAGGTGTTGGTCTGGCCGCTGGGGGAAGTGTAGGTAGAACCTCCCTTCCCATCGCTGTAGTACGTAGAGCCATTCGGGTTGGAATAGTAGTAACTCCCGTTCCTGAGACCACTCTCCGGTTACAACGCCACTCGGTATGCATATCTATACACATTGACTTACGTGTTGGAGTAATGGTAAGAGTTGGAACCATCTCCATAGTCACGAGAGCAGTAGTGGTTGCCCTGTTGAGGTATACAGTGGTTAGCGATGAGCCTAACAGATCGTTGTGGACCGCATCAGGTAGCGTTCAAATATGGATAATACCTGGCTGTTTGTGCCACTGCCTGAGTATGTGTAGCCTTTGCCCGTCATGTCTACGCCGTTGATTGTGCTCCAAGAGGTGTGCAGATGGTCGCCGATAAAGGTATGACTCGGTGTCCTGCGAGAGGGGCCACTTATAAGGAGGTCGGGCTTCCCCAGGAAGCATGGGACCCCATCAATCGTGAGATCGATCGCAATTACGCCACAAGCCGCGGACACCCAATCCCAGGGTCACTCACACCTTTGAGTCTTCGCACAAAATACTCAGTCGTGGAACAATACTGTAAGACTTTCATAAAGAAAAATGCGAGGAGACAGAATATCACATTACTTATGACCAGCTTCTCACATCAATAAAAAGCTGAATGATGTAGTTATCAACGTCTAACTCCTATGAGTTTGATTCTAGCGCCACCAACTATCTGTCTTTCCTATAATTATCCACGGTATTTCCTGCCTTGTGATGGACAAGCACAAAGAGCATGGCTTACGGCGAAGGTCCCGAGTCTGAGCGAGCACCAAACTCAGCGGGTTTCAGGAAAGAAATCTTAACATTATGCGATGGTATGCACATATCCACGGTTGTGACAGACAAAATGTGCGCAGGGGACAACAGACTTCATGCGCGAGGGTGCTATGATTGCCTTTTTAACGATAGGTGCGTGCGTGAAATGTGTTCACAGGTTATGCGATCCCCTAATCCTTTGGTGAAGGCGCCTAGGCCTTCGGACATCTGCACGATTTCGCAAGTGGCGTCATGAGGTGACTGTGCGCCTTCTTCCTTCCCCGAATGTGCTGCACTCTATACGGTGTAAAGAAGGTATTTCCTCCTGAGGAATCATATAGTCGGCTACGCTCAATTCTCAAATGCGAGGAAATGTGTATCGGCGATATGTATAGCTTGTGATGATGATATGCTCTGACTCATCACATCGGCTGCAGAGGAATATGACGAGTTATCATACAAGACCAATTCAAGGTGAACATCGTGTTTCTCGGTGGAATGCCACTGATGTTTCCCCTGTGTACTCCAGATGAAAGCGCGTCCGTGAAGGTTTTGGCTGCGTCAAATTGCACAGGGCTAGGCAAACCGCCTTCCTCCTTCACTCAGACACATTCGGCGACCACGCAAATTTTCTGCCTTCAAGGTCAACAACTCGCTCCGCCATGGTGCAAAGAAACGCTGTCTCTTCAAGCCCAAGGCCGTCAATGGTAAGTCATGCTCTCGATTTGCGGACCTGGAAGAAAGGAAACGTTGTGTACACAAGCATGATGAGGCTTTAGCGCATGGGTTCTGGGAGGTGGCGGCGGTAGAGCGCAAAGATAGCAACGGTCTGCGTGGGGTGTGGTAATCATCCGTGAGACGGTCACATTATAAGGCAAACTCATGGTTGCAGAGTGAAGTGGCATGTATCGGCCCCCTCATGCGGGCTACATGCAGTCTTGCGGTAACGGCGAAAGGTTCGTTTGTTTATTCGATGGCTGCAGCGCCATATCTTCCACTTTGGCGACAACAATATCCTTTCTAAACCCTAAAATGTTTCAAGTACACCGATTCTATCATAGCATATTCAATGAAAGTCGGAACTATTGCAATAACGTTAGGAAATCAGATCATAGCAAGATGTATTATGTAGATCATCCTAGAGTGCATGGGCACAACGACTACGCCAAATGTGCTCGGTGAGTATGCACCGCGAGTGCGAAGAATGCGAAACAGCGGAAAAGAGCGTCCATCCCTGACAGACATCTTATGATGCTCCAGCCATGATCGCCTGCGTCTTGAGGTTTGCTTCATTCAGCGCCTTCTCAAAAGCCTGCAGCTGCTCCTGCACGAGTTTGCGCCCGTCTAGCCGCCGCGAATGCGGCCTCTGCGTTGGTGACGGCGAACTCGGCCCATCGAGGTCAATCCCCGCCTCCCACCGCTCTATCTTCAGCCGACTGCGCTCCGCGCTGTCCCACTCTGTCCGCCACCCACCCAACTTGTTCTTCAGCGCGCGAATCTTCCGTCCCGCCTCAGTCGTTGCTGCAGTGTTAACCTGGGTATGTTCTGAGACTACGGCGAGCGACGCCACTGCAGACGACGTGAATGTGCGCAGATATGCGAGGTGCGAGATAGTAGTTGCTGGTGTCGCGGGTCCGTTTATGGGCGGTGGCGGTGGAAATGTGGACTTGACCGGCGTTGGGGAGTAAGCGGAATCATACTCCTCGTCTTCTTCGTCACCGAGCCGTTCCCGATCAGGGTCGGCGTCCCACTCATTCGCCAGCGTCGAGCCGGACAACGACTCCTCATGGATAGAGTCAAGATCTCTCGACGCTCCGCTTTCGCTTGAGGACTCCCCAATGAAGTCTTCAAGCGCCTCCAACTGACCGAGTGCGTCGTTTCCGCCGACCTCACCCGCAATCTTCCTGAACTCACGCTCGTACTCCAGCAGCTCCCGCACCTGCCCCTCCCTGTCCCGTGCGGAATCGTCAATGCGCCGGATGACGTCTGACGCAAGCTTCTCCAGCGTCGACTGCGACGCGGAAGCGCCGTGGTCTAAGTCGAGTCGGCGCAGCTGCGAGAGGAACTTCTCCGTGTATTCAAGATCCCGAGCAAGGATGATCATGGGATCCTGCTCTGGCTGTTTTCTTGGTTTCGGAGGCGGCGCAGGGCTACTGAAGACGGGGTCGACGCTCGGGTCTGCATGCAGGTCGATTGGTGAGTCGTGCTCCGGGACCACGGGTGCATCTGGGTCGAACTCATCCGCCAGCGCCGCACCCGGCGCATCCGCCACAACATCTCTCTCAGGAGTCTCGTCGATACCCTCCGCGCCCTCGTCATATTCAATGCCGAACTCCTCCGCCAGTAGCTTGGAGCCCGCACTGGGCTCCGGCATGAGTGCTACCGCCAGTTCATGCGCAAGTGAATGTCTCCCGTTCGCTGCGTCATCGTCTAGTGCCTGGGAAAGGCTCGAGCCGCGCAGAGACGCTGAAGAGCGGCGAGAGTTTATGCTGAGGCTCTGTCTAGAAGGAGATCTGCGTGGCGCAGACGTTGAGCCGGCTGAGAGGAATCGCGATGTAGTCGTCGTGTAGCCATCATCATGGTTAGAAGGGGCCGGCATATGGGGTTTCTAGGGGTAAGCAGGAGCTCGTCGTTGGAGGATGCGGCGTCGTCGCTGCCGTCGTCAGTAGTAATGGGCCGCGGTAGTAACATCCCATTTCGAGATTACAGGCGCATGATCACGTGGACCCACTACTAATAGACGCCGAATATACAGGACCGGAGTGAACTCAAAGGCTGACATTTCTTCTTGAAAATATAGCACGAAGCACGAGCGCGGATCTGGGCGACATCCCTTGAGCTTGTTGCGTTCACAGCCTGAGAACCACAATGCTGCAATTGCAATGACAATGCCACCAGAGAATACGCAGTACCGTATCATTCTCTCAGGCTCACAATTTGGAAAGGGCGGCTTGAGTGCAGATACTCGGCAGAACCACCAAGTCGGCAGGGTTCCCCCGGAATCTCTCTCAGGACGCTCGCAGGTCTGCCGACTGCCTGGGTAGGCACAGTATCGCAACTGAGAATACCAGATAGAAAAGTCAGCCATTTCCCGATACAGCGAAGCCTGATCTTGCTCGATCTGTTCACCAGGATCTCGAGGCCAGACAACTCAATCACCCATCCACTCGAGAAGCATCGATTGCCACAACATGGTTTATCCTGCATTGTATAGGTCGCGAATGACACGAAATGGTATTCGGTACAAGAAAAAATGGTTGCTACAAGAAATTTGGGGGAGTCGGTGCCCAGCGTCCATGCGGTACAAACTCAAAGGTATATGCCAATTGAACTCGGTTCCAAATAGAGGGCGTCAACGGAGCGGAAGACGGGGCTCGTGGACCGGTTGCGCTCACCGCCATTCTGGGAACGGGAGACCAGCGCCGCCACGGTCACGCTCATGCGTGTGCTTCCACGACGACCTAGCGCGTTTTCAATGCGCTCCGCCCCGTGAGAGACGCTTTGCGATGGCCGCCGTCATCTCACCCTCCGTGAATAGCGCCGCGAGCGCCCCGTCGTGGTCTGCCACCTCCATGAACTCCCACACAGCGCTGTCCTTGCACTGCAGCAGCTCCTTGACGCACTCACGCTCCCGGACGACCGGCTGCCATGCCGAGCCGTTGGCGTTGGCGACCCGGTGCCATTCGATGGCGTCGGCGAGCGTGAAGCAGCTTGCGGTTGGGAATCTGCGCGCGAGGTACGCCACGACCATGTTGTGCTGCATGCGCAGATTGAGCTTCCAAGTGGCGTAGACGCTGTCGGCGAACCGCAGCTCAAGAGTCTGCAGCGATAACTTCGGTCCGCAATTGCAGAACGCGCCGATCATCTGTTAGGGCACGGTGGTCAGGAGCCACCCACTGAGGTCGTATGTCAGTTATTTACCGTTTCGAGGGGGATCATAGGAAGTAGAGGGAAGCAAACTGCCAGCTTCGCGAGCTTGGGTGTGTATCGCTGCAGCGGGAAGCGGCGCCACGCCCACATAGGGACATCCAGCTCTTTCAGGGCGCATTGCTCCAGCGGCTCCAAGAGCCGACTGCTCGAGGTGGAATTGAGACGGAACCAGTCGCTAGTGTCCACCAAGTTGAGACGTGATACTGACGGTCTGAAGAGGGGTGCGAGGAGACTTAGGGGGCAGCGAAGCTCTCGCAATCGCGGCAGAGACGTGTCTGGGAGGGCGCTGTGCGATGATGAAGACCGGAGATCATCGTCGGGAGCATCGAGAGGGGTCGTCAGACAAAGGCTCGTGAGCGTCGGGGTTCGACAGAGAAAGGCAAATAGGATGTGCACGTCACTGGGCATGTACGTTGTCTCGAAGTGCTTCAGTGGAACGTCCGTAGATGCCTCCATGATCGCGCGGGCAAGTGGCCACTCGGTCGTTTTCAGGGACTGGAGTGTCGGCGTCGTCGCAAGCGACGCTAGTGCAGGCACATAGGCGGCAAAATCATCCTCCACCATGGACACATTGAGTTCGACGAGGAGTGGCAGACTGGCCTCCGGCAGGGCCTTCTTTGTGCGCAGTGTGTGGTAGGAGCAATGTTCGATGGTCAGGGTCTCCAGCCGCGTCAGAGACGTAATGGCTCCGAAGAGGTCGGAGGAGATGGGGGTATGGTCGAGGTGGAGCTTCTTGAGGTTAGAGAAGCGAGGCAGGATGTGCACATGCCGGCCGAGATCGGGGATAACGCGGTCACGCTGGGCGGGGGTGCCCTGTGGCATCCAGTCGACGTATTCGACATGGCGGACGAACGTCCCGAGCAGGCAGGCGGTCTCCTCGCCCTGGGCGAGCTGCTTGAGCCAGGAATCCCGCCTGCGTTTCCCGCTCTCCGACGCGCCCACGTGCGCGCCCCTGAAGGACACCAGGGAGAACAGCTTGGGCGCAACGAGCGCGGAGAAGAGCCGGCAGACGAGATTCATGTTCGATAGAATGGACTTGCGTTCGACCAGGGGCATGTCCGCATCTTCGAGCAGCTCGTCCACGATCAGCATGTAGATCTCGACGGGAATGCCGGTCAGCGGCCTCTGTCCGTCTGTGCGCGCGGGACCTGAGAGCGCATCATGACGTGAGTGGCTGTGATGCGCGGGGGGACGACGAGTCGACTTACTGCGAGAGGACCTCACTGCCATGTCTGTGGGTAGCTGCAGCCTGCAGGGTATGGTGGACGAGTGTGCCAAGGGAGAATGGCGCCTCCGGGCATCGATTGCGCGCACAGCGAGGCCTTTTGAGGGGCACGGGCGCGTATCCACGACCCAGCCTCGGGCGAGCGGCTTTTGAAATGCCGTGCGCGCTATCAGGTGTGCGCACGGAACACTGGCTGGGCAGGGAGCCGCGTGCGGAAGACAGCGTCATGATCTATCCGCCACAGCTCACCGTCCTGGTTTGGCGCCAATCCCAGAAGACGCCCGCCCTGGCCACCGACGCGCTCGGCACGCGCTAATTCCAGGCGCGTCCATTTACGCGTACGTCACGCGTCGGTCACGTTGCGCCGTCACAGCGCTCTCCATGCCGGCAGCTGAATGTCCAAACTCCTCCGCCAAGCACGGTGTGCGCTTTGGAAAACTGCGATTTCCAGGTATATTGATTGTTCGCCGAACAATGAACGCAGATGATTCTTCAGCGCTGACGCCGGTCCTCGTCCCATCAACTTCGAGCTGCAAATGTCCGATATGGTTCCCACAGCTACAGGGTTGCTCAGCTGTGCACGGGACACGCGCACGACAATCGAGCAATGTCGTCGTGCCATCGCAAAGCTATGCTACATCCACAGATACAGCGTACATACGTGCCAGTGTTCCTCGGCTTAGGGGGGGCGGTTCTCACAGCGAAGGTCCCCACGACACGGCTCTAATGCGAGCCTCCCGCTGAAGGGGCACGGAGGCTGTCACGAGAGTGTATGTTAGGCTGATTTGGCGCTTTCTGTGGCACCCACGAAGCGTCTAATCTTGAGGAGGCGGCACACGCCACGCGGAAGTACACAGCCCCGCGCCGCTGCATTCTCGACGACACCGGTAGTGCCGAGCAACCGCGCCCTGGTGGGAACGGTAAGAACGGAGGCTGAGCGCAATGCCACCTCCGCTCATAGCCCAGGTCACTGCAACACATTCACTGTGGCGATCCCGCCAACAACAGCTGGGCGACAATCGCGCTCGACCCATCAGATCGTGACTTCCCGTCACGTCTCCCGCCGTTCATTTCAGCGCCTCGGCGTGCGGCGCCGAATTTATTGGAACGTTTGAAGGTCGAAGCATCGCGCCCTGGCGCTCGATGGAGAATGCAGACCTAGCCAGATTAGCGACATACCGCGCAAGCGCGCGCGCTCCCGGGCGCTCATTGGGCAATTGCCCTGGATACATGTCCGCATGTAGGCGATTCTGTCTGGCAATTTGCAAAAAAAGGCTGCCACTGCTTACTCGCGGGACACACTCGGCACGGAACTGGCGCGGAGAACAGACCCATCTCTGAGATATTGGGATTCCGTGCGCTACACACGCGACCTCTAATGAAATGTCTATCAGTCAAGGTACTTCTAATCAGCGTGTCTAATCGTGTCAGCAGTACGGCACGCTGAGGTCCAGGTATTCAATCTATGATTGGGATCCAGGGGCAGTGACGGCATCCGGCAGGATGGTCCTACAATAGTGGAGCAACACGGCAGGGTCCGGTAGGTCCTTCAACAGGCGTAGCGGAGCGGGACGCGGGGGCATCACCAGTTCGTCCAGGTCCAAAATCGACGGAAACATGAGCAGAAGGAAGAAGAAAAATGCCGTCACGGACGCGTCGTCGTCCGGCAACACGCCCAGGCGCAGGGACCTGAGGTTCTGCCCAATGTCGCGGCCTTGGTTGCTCCATGCGTCTATAGCGGAGGTGTACTCGGCTGTGGTTACGGGAGAAGGTGCTATCTCGGGAAGAGCGGGTATCTCTACGGGCAGTGTTAACGACCTGAGCTTGGGGCACGCTCTCGCAAGGATGGCGTACGCCGCAGGCGTCAGGCCGCGACCCTGATCAATGGAGATGTCGCGCGTCAGCGTGCCCAGGTCGAGGTCCTCGAGGTGCGGCCACCATGCGCTTATTTCACGGATATCCGTGTCCCCTAGATACGGCAGCACAATCGCGGCGACGGAGAAGCGGCGCAGGTAGGTGAGGCCGGCGAGAGGACGGATCATCCTGAGTGCGAACCATTCGGGGGTAACCTCATCCCAGTCGCCCAGGTCAGGGTAGCACTCAATGACCAGCTCCTGGAGACTTGCAGGCACGGCGGCGGCGAGGCTGACGAATGCGGGTATAAGGCCCAACGGGCCGTCGGCGTCGTCGGCGTGTATGGTCAGTGACCGCAGCGTGTTCGATGGTAAAAAGGGGAATAACGCCACGAATGTATTGTTATGGGCGCTGATGACCAATTTTTTCAGGGAAGAAAATATTTTCCCCGTCGATTTTGTTGAAAGGGCTGTTTGGAGATCCCAGGGATCAACAAAATGGGCGTTAATATTGAGTTCACGGAGTGAAGGCAGGGTGGTTGCAATCGAGAACAATACGTCCGCGGTGAGAGACGGCCCGATTTGTAGACTGAGGGTCCCGAGGGTTGTAAATAATGAAACGCTCGAGAGGGTGTCTCTGGTTATGCTGCCGCGCAGGCGGAGGCGCCGCAAAGGAATGTCACTAGTGCGCAATGTATCCAACAGATCCGCGGTAGCGCGCGCCCGTTGGTGGAGACACGAGTCTTGCGAGTCGGCGGACAGGCTCGCGGCCTCACGATAGGAAGTCACGATGCTAACGTCCCGCACTGCCGGCGAGACGCTCCAGCAGGGAGCGGTCCCACAGCCCCCAGACGCGATTGCGACGTCTCTCAGGTTGGGCAGTGTGATATGTGGCAGCAGTGCGGGCGGGACGCCGACCACCGCGCTGTGTTTAATCTTCCGGACGCGGGACGCATAGCTCCTGAATCGGAGGAAGGCGTCCGCATGGGAACAGGGCACGTCCTCAAACGCCTGCAAGTCGGACGTCAGGACACGTCACTGCGAGACGAGATGTTGGGCCCACCACCGCGTCTGAGCCGTCCTTTCCGGCAACGAACCCTGGAAGCAGCCGCACTAGGGGCATTACGCCGTCTAGACGGTACCACAATCTGTCCAGTGCAGGGTCTCGCCAGGCCTTGCAACATCGTGCAATACAAGCAAGGGTCTGGCGGTATTCTTCTTGGGGCCAGTCCGAGCAGAACTCTAGGATGTATTCCAAAATTTCGTCTATGAGCAGTACGCTGTGCATCGGGGTGGTATATCGCGGCTCAAAGTCTATCAAATTGAGTGAAGGAGTAAAGTACAAGTCTAGGATGCGTCTACGGGGGGCGCGTCGACCGTGAGGGTAGCAGAATGAGATGCGGCGCCATTGCGGACAGCTGTGCTTCACCGCTCGATCATCGCCCAAATTCTTGGAATCAAGATCTCTGATTGGCTCTCGCTCAGAAGATGATCGAGCAGCGCCAGAAAACTTACTTCGTCCCGTAATTGGTTGCTCATAGTCCTCATGTTGGCACTGGATTTTGGGGCACGTTATACGCAGTTTACATACATTACTCATGTAATGGACAACAGCAAAGTACACGAGCGCAACATAGCGCCGGAGCACCGACAAGACACACAACTTAGACCACAGGGGGCTTCGAACCGGGCTGGAACGTGTAGGTCAAGCCGCACTTGCCGCAGTACTGACGATCCTGGTGGAAGGCCATCTGCAACATACATGAGAACCAATGTGATAGAAACAGACGTATAGTTGACGTACGAAGATACCAGCACCGCACTCAGCGGACGGGCACTCGCGACGGAGACGCTTGATCTTGCCGTCGGACTCCACCTTGTAGTACTTCAAGATGGACATCTTGACCTTCTTGCGCTTGTGCTTAATCTTCTTGGGGGTCTAAAAAGACAGGGATCAGTCGAGCTGTTACGACATCCTGAACCAACAACTTACGTTGTAGGTCTTTTTCTTGCGCTTCTTGGCACCACCACGCAGGCGGAGCACCAAGTGGAGGGTCGACTCCTTCTGGATGTTGTAATCACTGAGGGTGCGGCCATCCTCGAGCTGCTTTCCAGCGAAGATCAGGCGCTGCTGGTCCGGGGGGATACTGAATAGCGCAGGTAAAACACGATCGTGACAATTGAGCAAGCGATGGTACATACCCCTCCTTGTCTTGAATTTTGGCCTTCACATTGTCGATGGTGTCCGAAGACTCCACCTCAAGGGTGATGGTCTTGCCCGTGAGGCTGCACAGTTGTCAGCATGCTTGCTTCCCGAGCAAATTAGCTGTCCAAACTCACGTCTTAACGAAAATCTGCATCTTGCTGAACACAAGGTCAGGTATGATCACAGAGACTTCAGCAATAATCCACACCTGACGGATGCCTCTGTCTGTCCAACGAACTAAACGATGGAGTCGTCGACAAAAGCTGAAGCCGAGTATGAAAGGGTTGTAGCGCCCGCGCGAGTCTTATATTTGCCAGGATTTGTCAGCTGCTCGGTCTGTGGATGGTCCGTGCGTGTTGGTAACAAGGTTTAGGCTCCGCATGGCGATCGGCGGCATTGTCCGGCTTGACGCGTCGCGCGTGACACGCGTTCGACGCGTCCGCAAACGTCTTGTCTCGCGTTTCGCTCCGCCACTCTGCTTACTCACCATTCATCTGTTATTGATAAGTATGGATTCCGACGAAGACATTCAAATGGACGAAGTTGAGAAGGAACCCTCGTCGAAGAGCAAAGGAAAGGGCAAAGCAAGCGAACACGAGGAGGCCTATGACAATGACAATCTACCATGGTACGTCTTCTGACGCGTTTGTGCGTCTTGGACTACATATAGAAAGGCAGGGTGGAGAAGTACCGTCCAGTGACACTGGATGACGTTGTATCCCACAAGGACATCACGTCAACAAGTGAGCCACATAACGGACTACGACTACATTGTATCTAACAGCCGCATGCAGTCGAAAAGTTCATTGAGAAGAACAGATTGCCTCACTTACTGTTTTATGGGCCTCCCGGCACGGGCAAAACGTCAACGATCCTCGCGGTAGCTCGACGAATATATGGAAAGGACTACCGCAAGCAGATACTCGAGGTGCGTAACCCCAGTTCTGTGCTGATGCACAAACACATTTCATCTCCTATCTCTTAGTTGAATGCATCGGATGATCGTGGTATCGATGTTGTACGAGAGCAAATTAAGAACTTCGCCGAGACACGTACGCTGTTCCTCAAGGGTTACAAGCTCATCATTCTGGACGAGGCGGACATGATGACAACAGCAGCACAAGCGGCCCTCCGACGTGTCATCGAACAATATACCAAAAATGTCCGGTTCTGCATCATCTGCAACTACGTCAACAAGATCATTCCTGCCATTCAGAGTCGGTGTACACGTTTCCGCTTTTCACCTCTGCCAATCACTGAAGTAGAACGACGACTGAGTGGTGTGATTGAAGCGGAAGGGTAGGTTTCCCTTTCGAGACATAGAGCGCATGCGCCTGATGGCAAGCAGTGTCAAACTCACTGAGGACGGCAAGAAAGCATTGCTCAAGCTGTCGAAAGGAGACATGCGTAGGGCCTTGAACGTTCTCCAGGCCTGCCATGCTGCCTACGATCTCATCGGGGAAGATGAAATTTACAACTGCACTGGTAACCCGCATCCGACCGACATTGAGAGCGTGGTGAACTCGATGCTTTCTGATGATTTCACCACGTCCTATAAAAGTACGACCATGCCCCCTGTCCATTTTTCACCGACGCTGACACCTGGCAGTGATATCTGCCCTCAAGGTCGAAAGGGGCCTTGCATTGCCGGACCTCATTAATGGTGCATACGAGTATATTGAGACTATCGACTTCAAGCCTCATGCACGCATATATCTGCTGGACTTTCTGGCCACGACCGAGTAAGTGAGCACGTGCGTCGAAACATGTTGCGATGCTCAGCGATTGTACTCGTCAGACATCGACTGTCCTCAGGTGCGAATGAAAAGATACAGCTCACGGCACTGCTAGGAGCATTCAAAAACGCGGTTGAGTTGTCTGCCAAGTCTACCTAGTGTCTGGTCGGGTTCTATAGTGTTGCTTATACCTGTATGCTGTTGTATTGTTGTCATAATATCTTATCCGAGCTGCTTGCCGCCACCGTTTGACAATATCAATGATTTCAAGCTGCTGAAGTGCCTGCGCGCTGCCTTGCGCGCCTTCCTATCTAGATCTGGTCACCCTGCTCATCGACTCGTCCTTCTGTGGGTCCCGTCCCACAAGCACATTGACCCGAACGAGTTCGTCGATGCGCTCGCCAAGGAGGCTCTCGATGCGGACCAGCCGGACTTCGTGTCCTATTCGCTCGCCCTTGCGCGGGTCAAGGCTCGCATGAAGTCCAAGTGGGATTGCGTCGCCTGTGATGCCAATGCCGTCCACTATCGGGGTCGCCGCCTGTGGGTGTCCGATGATCCCCTGCTGCACGGTACCACTGCCGCCACCACCTGGCTTCTCAAGCACGCCGGCAAGTCTAACGCGGACGTTGCCCGCGCGGCGCGCGTCCTGACCAACCACTTCCCGTGTGGCGAGTATCGCGCTCGCTTCAACATCCCGGGTCCCCAGGACTGTCCGTGCGGGGGTGGCCTGGAGACTCGGCACCACATCCTGTTCCAGTGTCCATTCTGGATTCGCACGAAGGCGCCGGTGGCCTCTTCGCTCGCGCTCCCCCACGACGACCGCACCCGCCAGTTACGCGCCCAGTGCGGCTGGTCCGCGGGCGACGTCCTTGAGTTCTTGCGGCTGAACCCCATGGTCTCTACATTTGGGTGGGCGGAGATTCTCGCTGAGGCGCTCGCCGACCGCGCGGCCGGGC